GGTCTGCTGTGCCATGCTGCGCTGTGCCACATCTTCACCCCCGCTCGCTCGCCCGCCGCCTCCTTGTCCCTGCTCCTCACCGCAGGGTCACCGCAGCCGCGGGTGCGCAGGTGCTCTCGGCGTGGCTCCCCGGCTGCCCGTGCCCTGGCAGAGCTTTGTTCTTGGGCTGCACCCAGCAGGGTCGGGGTTCCCCCCAAAATGAGACGACCCTGCTGACCCCCCTCTGCGCCCTGCAGGTACATCCAAGGCGCCTCCTCCCCGAAGGACATGGTCATCATCGTGGACGTGTGAGTACACGGGTGGGGGCCATGGCCGGGCTGAGCCTGGCCAGGACGGTGGCACAGCTCCCTGGGGTGCCACTGTCCCACCGGTGGCCGCAGGGAAGCTGTGTGGGACAGTGCTGGTGGGGAGCCCTGTGTCCCAGCACTGCCGAGCCCTCAGCACCCCTCTCTCCTGCCAGGAGTGGCAGCGTGAGTGGCCTCACCCTCAAGCTGATGAAGACCTCGGTCTATGAGATGCTGGACACCCTCTCGGATGATGACTACGTCAACGTGGCCTCGGTGAGTGCCACGGGGTGGGCAGCAGGGCTGTGGCCCCCAGGCAGCTCCCAGCTCCCCACCGTGGGAGCCCTTTGCCCTCAGACCCACCTGGCCAGGGTCTCTGCAGAGAGAGAAATGCCATTTTTTTTCCTCTTAACCACCCACCTGCCCATAAGCAAGGAAATGGCTGCTCGGGGCTCGGCTGTACGTGGTGGCGAGGGAAAGCTGCCCCCATCACAGGGTGATGCATTCGGCAGAGATGCTCCTGGGCGATCCCAACCAGCCACCTCCTGTCTGTCACCAGCCAGTGACATCATGCCCGCCGTGGCGATGTCACCAGTCGGTGACCTCATGCAGCACAGTGGCTGTGCCACCGCATCTGTGCGTCGCTGGGCGCCCAGCCCATGCCGGCTCTCCCCTGTCTGGCCGCAAGCACGCCGGCGCTAATTAACGTGTCTGGCCGGGCTCCGTTAGCTGGATCGCTGCTCCCGTAATGAATGGGCCTTATTGCCAGCAAATGAAGCCGTAAGCGAGGGGCAGCCCCTGCTCCCGCTGCCGGCACGGCACAGCATGGCACAGCACGCCTGCTTGCACGAGCCCGGGGGGTCCTGCAGAAGCGAGGGTGCAGGTGAGCCTGGCGCTGGCAGCACCCGCTGCCGGCACCCACACCAAGGCCGCTCCGTGCTGGATTTGGC